AGGAAGCTCACCTACCCCCCCCCGAGGCACGTTCTTTCGGGGCCGTTTCCACTTAGCCCCTTTTTTTTTTTTTTTTTTTTGCATCGTCCACTTATCCTCCTAGCCTAGTTGAGCAGCGTGGTAGGTAGTCATGACGTAGGCGTGGGGTTAGGCTTATAGAAATTCTGATAGGGTATATTTCTATAGCCCCTGACAAGCCTCCCACAATACAATCATCAGGAGCTGTCCAGATAACATCTGGACCCCACCCGTTTCGAGATAAACCATTCATCAGAAGTTTTTATTCCAAGTCCTTTTCCCATTTCAGTTTTCGGAGAGAGGCAACATTAACATACATGTTTCAATTCACATTCATAGCAAATAAATGATCTTTCATGAAGTTTTCAAACGATCAATTCATCCAGTTTGCAAGAAATGTTGCATCACAATACCAATTTAATAATGAATAAAAATTCAAAGTGAACGACCAATGTTCCTCTTAAAATTTCAAACTTGCACCGTATGGTAAAAATACATCCAACTAATTTACTTTATTAGGTTCCAACAAAGAATTTAATTGATAATGTCCAACATTTTTCATATCAGTCAACTGGGTCAAAACATGGAGTCAAACAGAGTTAATAACAAACATTTTGGTATATATATATATGTATAATATAGGTATACATATGTATATATATATAGCCTTAAAATTATATCACGGTTCCAATCTGGTTTCCTCTCTTAGAACTCGGCAATCTCTAGCCTTATGACCCGTTTTCTGACATACGACACAGAAGGGAGGTCCCGATAATGGTGTCCCCTCCGTCCTCAGAAAGTTCGTTCTACCATTCGACCCAGACAGCGGAGGACTAAGAACCCTCCTCAAAACCTCGCTACGTTGTTCCGTACTAAGTGCATTTCCTCTCTCTCGGGCTGAGGAATCGTCTTTGGCGATCTTTGCCGGTTTCTCATTGCTAGACAATGTGACCCACTCTCTCTTGCTTCCAACAACTATGCTTTTCTGATGTGCCAGCTTAGCAACCCTTATGGACTTCGACACTCCGTCCTTTCTTTTCTCCTGCGACAAGCTTCCCTTCTTGATTACCAAGGACCCTGTCTTCGACTGTTGTGAAGGTCTGTCATCCAGAGATTTCCTCTGAGTACTCCTCGAGGCAGGCTCAACCACTTTCTCCTTCCCTTTTACCGAGGCAGTGGTTGGCTGCGATCCAGAATATTTCCTTCCCTGTGTCCCTTCGAGACGGGTAATACGACGATCTAGCTCATCGAGTCGTTCAATGATACCTGTCAGTAGCTCGGTAATCGATGTATTTCCGGCTCTAGCCTGAGTCTCTACATGAGTGATTTGTATCATGGCTTGGTCACCTTTTTCCTCCATACTTCCAAAGTTAAAGGTATCTCTCATGACCGCAACGAATTCGGTCCAGCTTCCTGACGCCTCTGCAAAAATAGCAACAACGGGTCTCCAGTATTCATCCGAGTACCGAGCCACTTGGTCTCTCATCTGATTCTCAGTCCATTGCTCCTTGTTAGCGAGTTTCATAAAAAGATCAATGAATTCTTCCACATTATCCCCCATGAACAAAGGAACTCCCTTCTCTTGAGCTGTCAGTCTCTCGGATAAGCGAGCGATCGCAGCCCGCACCATCTTCTGAATGTTGTCTTGTCGAGAGCTCGATGTCATCTCGAACTGTAGCTTCACTTCCCCCTTCCCTCCCTGTCGCCACAAGGACAGTCAGAAAAGAAAGAAAGGAAACCAGTTTTCACTGAAGGCACGACTCGATCGACTAAACAAATAATCATCAGACAATGACGCAGAAATGTATTCAACTCAGGCGAAAGCGTGTCGATCCTTACCTCACTCATACGCTCTGTATGAATTTCTTCAACTTCGATCCTGAAACCCAATCCCGTCTTCGGGCTCTGTTAAGCTCTTCGACCTCATACGCTCCGTGTTCTGATTTCTTGAGGATGCGATAAGGCCCCAACCACCTATTATCCAGCTTCCTCGACCATTGTTTTTCCAACGAAGAGTCATAGAGAAGGACAACATCACGGACTTCTAAGGGTTCCTTGCGGACCCGCGGCTGTCTGTCCCATCTCTCTTTGTCCGCCCTTCTACTCGCTGCAGTCGAAGCGACGGCCTCTTCAATCCTTTCCTCCGTGGCCATGATCTGTCTGACCCTCAGGTCGAGTAGCTCTTCCAATGAGAGGTTGACCTCTAAGTCTTGCTTCTGCCACGTGGTCAGGAGACTCTTGATCGGAAAGGTTACATGTCGACCAAACCAAAGAGTTGGCGGAGCATACCCAGTCGTTCTCTTCACGGTGATATTTTCGACGAACATTGTTGTCCGAAGGTACACCGGCCACCTAGAAGGCTTCCCTGCACACCAATTAGCCAACAAGTTTGTTAGGGTGGAGTGTCCCCGCTCAACCGGAGCGTTTGCCTGCGGACGCGCCCTCGTGGTATATCGATACTTAACGTCGAATCTCCCTAGGAGAGTCTGAACTTCTTTCGCTCGGAACTCACCACCGCGGTCCATCACGATCTCGCGGATGAAAGGATACCACACCCAGCTAAAACCTTTCCGGTCATTTCTCGTATTGCACAACCGTCGACGAACCTTGTCAGATTATCTTTTGCGTCAAAGATAAACCGATACCCATTCATTCCTAGCGGCATAACCACCAAGTCGAGGTGCACCACGGTTCCCGGTTCAGCAACGTACCGTGGGTGAAGGGGTTCGACATACTTATGGTTGGAGCGTTCTTGACAGGGAACGCACGAACTGCACTAATCCGTAACCATTTTACTCATACCGTCCCTGAAATAAAGATGTCGTACCTTCTGGGGCGTCACTCGGGCCGAACGATGCCCACCTGCAACCCCGTCATGGAGAGCCGCAATCACGTCTAATTGTCTCGTAATTCCACAAACGACCCTTTTTGGGATGCTGTCTTCACTCTTCTTAAATAGATGGCCGTACCTAACCACAAACTCTTCACTTTTCCGACGAACGTCACCTTTCACACTTTCCTAGCGTATCTCCTTACTCAACCATAATCCGATCTCTCTATATATCCCATCGTACTCCTTTTCCCTAAAGGCCTCTTTCATCCTACCGTCCTCGTCATCTGGTACCAATGCCCGCAAATCTTCCTCAATTAACGCGTTGATCACAAGACACGTCCCGCCAGATACTCTGAGGACCTCATCGGCATGTCGGAAACCTTCTTGAATTGACAAGTGGTCGTCCGACAACCGAACGGAGTCAGAGAGTGCGAGGCTCATCATCTGCTCACCAGACCTCTCACCCCACGGATCCTCTTCGATAAATGACTCTTCTTTCACCAACTCAGGGCGAACTTGATAAAAGTTGGGAGTGTTCCACATAGACCTCCCTTGTCGGTAAGACGCATAAACCAGATAATGGTAAGAATTTATACTTAGCTGGCCTTCCTCGATTTCCAGAAAACCGTCAACAGGCACAGAATCCTCTGCGCAAATCTTGGAGTTGTCCCAGTCGATTCTACTTAGCCCGTCTGCCCGATTCTTCACGCCAGCTATCCTCTCGACTTCAAAATCGAACATCCAAATGTACGTAAGCCATCTTGCGATCGTCGGATCGGAAGGGGAATAATTTCTTAATGACTGAGCCAAGGAAGTCGGATCAACCCTCAGGACGAATCTTCGACCGAAAATATAATTGCGAAAAATTCTTAGGCAATGAAGCACCGCTAAAGTCTCTCTATTGAACTGGGAATAATTTCGCTCCGTGAGGTTGAGGGTTCTGCTTTCAAACCTTAACGGACGCTTGACCCCGCTCTCGTCCTTTTGAATAAGGACCCCTCCTAGAGTCGTAGGTCCTGCATCGGTTTCAATAATGAATGGTCGCTCTGGGTCGTTATCGAAGCATGGAACCCCGAACACCATTCCTCCCTCGCGAAACTCAGCCTTTATGTCCTCAACAACTTTCTGTTGGTTTGGTCCCCATTCCCAATTTTGACCCTTACGCACGAGCTTGCGTAAGTGCTCCACCCTTGCTGCAAAATGTTGGATGAAGATCCTCCAAAACCCACACGTCCCGGGAAAACTCCTTATCTCACTAACAGACTTAAGCGGAGTAGGTCACTCAAAGATTCTCGAGCTTAAGACCACGCCCCTTCTCCCGTCGTGTCCACCAAGCAGAAACATATTTGGTACGCCCGACCAAACTCTTTCCATGTCGAGACCTAGTCTCATAACTTGGCCCCCAAATGTCTCTAAATCGCTTCTCGAGCTTAAGGCTTTTCGCATAGTCCTCTCCTTTTTGGTCTTTCCCTTACTAACATCACGTTTACTAACAATTGTCTGGCGTGCAGTCTCTCTAGACTCAAGAATCTTCGTTTCCTCTTTCGAGGCCAACCGGTAAGTGCAGGGCATAGTCCGGTTCATGCGTCGAAATGCTTCCTTCCTCATTCCTCCTTCTATGTATGAATCGATAAGGTTCCCTTCGAAATCGAACACCTCTCCTCGAATGTTCGTGTACACAATCCGATCCTCCTCATCTTTAGCAAGGGTCTGACAATATCGGACACCGTGCCCTCTTTGTGCAGAGTAGTTATAATTCCAATCCTTATTACCGTAACCGCGACCACCAGAAGCTCCCCGACCATGCCCCTGGCCTCCTCCGCCTTGCGGCCGAAATTGTCGGGGCTCGGCATCTTGAGATTGTCTCTGATGCTGATTGATAGTATCACGGTTATCATTCCCATGACCATTCTTATTCTTGGCTTGTTTTCCATTCGTACCTTGCCCTCCCCGAGTTTGATTCATGCCCTTTCGTTCGGCCTTCGTTGTTTTCCGAGGAGGTTCTTCTTCTTCTTCCTTTTCACTATCTTCCTCGTCGGACTCTTCTTCCCTCTCTTTTCCTTTTCTCTTGCCGTCTTGTTGCCTCACAATCACTACCTTGCCACACAGTCCCTCCTTCCTTATTTCTTTCATTATCATCCTAACATCCATAACCGCCCCGAACATCTCCTTATCCTTATCACAACTTACTAACTCATCCTCCTGCATTTTCCTTTGCCTGCGCAAGAGATGAAAGAGCATTTGGTCGAAGTCACCGACCTTAAGATTCTCCTTAATCTTATCCCAGTCATACCTGGTAGTAAAACCCTTCATCAATTCTCTTTGCTCGACTTCCGTGAAGTTGATCAGAAAGATAATGCATTTCGTCTTATCGGGAAGATTGAGAACCCTCTTAGCTACCTTCTCAAACCTGTTTAGGAACCCTTCGATCGTCCCAAATTTCTCCCGACTCACTTTACGAAGGTCAGAGACGTCAAACAATCCGTCTCCTAGCTGGTACTTTTCCAATATTCGTTCACGGAATGTTTTCCAGATTCGTGTCCTACACGCCATCTTGCCAACTTCTTCTGCAAGATCAACGTGCACATAACGTTTTACTACTTCCAACATCTTTCATTCAGTCCATTGACGCACATGAGCATTCAACTCATATTTTTCTAGCCAGTCCGTAACATTTTCCCCATCGAACAGAGGAACCTTGATTTTCGGAAACTTGTCATGTGGCGTGGTGGTTTGTCGGATAAGCCTCACGAGTTCCTGAATGTTATTGCGCCTCTCGTCGCCCAGACTATCGTTCTCAGCGAGGTTGGGGCTCCCCATCTTTGAGTGAAGTGCCAGGAGGAACAACGATCACAATGAGATACATGAGTCAGGAAATATTTTTATCAAACTCATTGCATCATGCGGTTTCAGACTAATCGGGATGACCCATCCATGTTGGGTCGTTATTATCTCACAATCTCTCAGTCATACTAGGGTCATTGTCACGATAAAGCCACTTGTCCTTTCGAGAGGAAACCAAATCACAACCGAACCGCCTAGTTAAATAATAAAACAAGGTAATTATTTGGGATTACCTTACCCGACTTTCGTTCCACCAGGGACAACGGTAGATAGCCGTCATCCCCGGCAACGGCGCCACCTGTCGAACGCATCGGCCCCCCCCTTCGCATCGTAGTCCATAAAAAGGGGGACCTCCCGACCGCATCACGCAGGAGTTTGTTTTCTTTTCTTTTTAGAGTCGGAATGCTTTCCCCAAAATTCATCGAGGTGAACGACGGGGCTTTGCCACTCTAGCCGGGTCCGCAAGTCGTACTTCTCGCGTTTCCCTACGACAGGTCAGGGTCCCTCGAGGCATAACTCGTCTTCCCTGAGGAGCTGTCACCATCCTCAGAGGCGTATCCCTACCAAGCTACTGATCTACATACGAAAGCTTTTACATGCAATCGCAGAGGTAGACCAGCCAGGGGCGTCTTGCTCGTTTCGCCGTAGTACAGACATTTCTTATAGGTGAATATAGAATAATCCCATCGAAGTCACTCCTAGTCTCTTATAAAGACGCTTTCCGGAAGACAGTGTCATAGCAGCAGAAAGCACACATATGGGTTACATGAGACATTCAAACGCTACCATTAAACACATGCACGTAAACAACCACGACACAAACGGATGTTGCTTACAATCACGCGAGAGTGGTAACCAGTCCACACATAGATGTCGCATTAAGGCACATGAGCGTTACAACCAAACATTTTTGAGGCCGTTACCAAAAGCACATACATGACAGCCAAGGCACATAGAGGTTGCAAACGAAGATGTACAAATCCAACATGCAGATAGCGAATCATCCCAAAGGCGGAAACAACAATCTTTAGCAGGTATGATGACAAAGAACATGCCTTTGTTTTCACTATCTCATAAAGTTGAAAGGAAAGTTTTCAAAAGCGTTTCACAATTGATTTACGTGAAAACTGGCAAGTGGATCACCTCCTCGATACCGTCAACAGCTACAACTTGCAGAGACAAGAACTTACTGAATCAAATTCGCAAAAGCAACTCCGCGTTGTAGCGGTATGCCCAAGACACTCTCTATTATTTTTTCTGTGACTTCCTGTTATCCA